GAAGTTTAAATAACGCTTAATATATATTTTCATTTTTCAAACATCATGTTCAACTTGAAAAAATCAACCTGCTAGGTTAATTGGTATATATATATATATTTTACTCTTATTTTTAAGGTGAAATTTTACACTGGTATATGATGATGGGCTAATAAGTCATATGAACATCCCTTGAAATAGCATAAAACTTTGGAGAACAGATTTGAAATTTCTGTAAGGTAGTATGTACACATTATGAGATTGAGCCAGAGTATCCTTGGCACCAAAGCATGCTTGTTAGGTTGCCTCAACATAGTTTTCCAACACTGATAGTTCAACATATTTTAGAGAAATTTCTTCCGACGAGAATTCATTAACAACAACCAACGAATTCTACTTCAATAAAGTCTATTTTTCCTCTTCAATTTATGGAATAAAGCTAAAGATAATCCCCAATATCTCCCCCACACATGAACAATTCACTCCATTTTCTTTTCCATGTTTTGTCACCATTTCATTCCACACTCTTACAAAAATGAAAAAGCATAAAGAAACAATCTTCACTTTCAATCCCCATTTCAATTTATAATTTTATATCCCACCATACATTTAAAAAAAAAAAAACTCTTGATCCCAAATATTACATCATTAAAAGCAACTCTATTCTTTACGAAGATGCAAGCCTTTTCGTAACTTGATTGGGAAGGGCAATTGGACAACAAGTACTTGGGAGAAAAAGGATGTAGGACCAGAGAGGACCCATCTGAAAAATGTAAAATTTAAAATACTACTCAATAATTTTTTTTAAACAAAAAATTTGCATTAAAAAAAAATGAGAACCTAAATTCTAACCATACAAAGTGAAAAAAAAAAAAAAAAAGAAAGGTTTTTTCACCACTAGTTTGGCCATTTATGCTCCTAACAATCTATTTAATCAATGTCAACTCAGTAACTTCCTTCTTTGAAAATTTCTTGACCAAGTTCCCAAACCGAGTTAAATAAACAAACTTACATTTTAATCCCTGAATCCATACCGATCCTCCAAATCTCCCCCCCGTTAAAACCAGCTCATACCATCCCATTTTTCTCTACTAGCACTCTCACTATGCACAAGCCACCGCTCCACCACCTCCCTCTACTTCTCCTCCTCTCACTCATCCTCATTTCCACCGTCGCCGCCGCTCCTACAACAATAACTCAACAATTCAAGGAAGCACCACAATTCTACAACTCCCCGGAGTGTCCTACCACTGGGGCTGAGGAGGATGAATCGGTGGGTGAGAATTCAATTTTTTTCTCGGATCAGGCCGTCCATGTGGCACTGACCCTCGACACTGCTTACATCCGGGGTTCTATGGCAGCAATCCTCTCCGTCCTTCAACATTCCGTTTGCCCCCAAAACGTCGCCTTCCATTTCGTCGCCTCCGCTTCCGCCAACGCGTCCCTCCTGCGCTCCACCATCTCCTCTTCCTTCCCTTATCTGAATTTCAGGGTTTACCCTTTTGATGATTCGGCCGTGTCGGGACTCATCTCCACATCTATCCGTTCTGCTCTCGACTGTCCCCTGAACTACGCTCGTAGCTACTTAGCCAACCTGCTTCCCCAGTGCGTCCGCCGAGTGGTTTACCTAGACTCCGACCTGGTTCTCGTTGATGACATTGCGAAACTCGCTGCCACCCCACTCGGAGACACTGCGGTGCTGGCCGCACCGGAGTATTGTAATGCGAATTTCACCGCGTATTTTACCCCAACGTTCTGGTCTAACCCTTCCCTCTCTTTAACTTTTGCCGACAGGGAAGCTTGTTATTTCAACACCGGCGTGATGGTGATCGATCTTGACCGGTGGCGGGAGGGAGATTACACGACGAAGATTGAGGAATGGATGGAATTGCAAAAAAGGATGAGAATTTACGAATTGGGTTCTCTGCCTCCTTTCTTACTAGTTTTTGCCGGGGACATAATTCCGGTAGATCACAGATGGAATCAACACGGCCTTGGGGGCGACAATTTCAGGGGACTGTGCCGGAATTTGCACTCAGGTCCAGTGAGTCTGTTACATTGGAGTGGAAAAGGGAAACCATGGGCTCGCCTGGATGCGAACCGCCCCTGCCCATTGGATGCTCTATGGGCTCCTTACGATCTATTGCAGACTCCATTTGCATTGGATTCTTGAAGCATACAAAATTAATTCAAGCCTTAAGTGTTCCGGGTAGTATGGAAGTCTTTCCAGCGCGGTCAATAACCGGAAGAAACGCGGCTGAGCAATACAGAGTACCTAGAGATGCTATGGGGAGTAACGCTTGTGTTTCAAGTTTCAGGCGACAACGGCGGTGATGGGCGGCTGGCCGGAGAAGGGAGATCCTTTTGTTGACTTGAAGATTAATTACAGAGGAATTAATTAATACATTTCCCTTTTTATTTTAAAGAAATTAAAAAAATAATGTTCAAAAAGGAAAAGTGGTGTACAAATAAGGAGAATTCCAGAAGGAACCTCCGAACCTGTATAAAATCGCTTTATTTCATATTTTCCATTTTCTTCTTTATTTTTCAAGAAAAAGAAAAAAAAGAATTGAAGTATAGTTAATTGGGTATTTAATTGTAATATTCATTGACAGAATGTTCTGTTTATTAAGAGATATAAAAGAGCCAACTGTTATGTTATGCTGGAAATTCGAAAGAATGTGGATATTAAAAATAATTAAAGTAGGAATGGATGAATGCTTTGAGAAGAAAAAGAAGAATTTCTAAATGAATATCAAAATTCAAGTAATTTATGTAAATAGTTATTTATATTTTTGCATGGAATTTGGATTTATCTGGAACATGGCTGGAAAGACATTTTGACAGGTGAGAATGCAGCCATAACATATTAATTGACATACGTACCACTATTATTTTGGTGCATACTACTGTAGATGCCTAAAAATAAAATCGTATATATCCCATAAAAA